TTAGGATCAATCTCCATACTCTGAACGAATTGGAATGCTTTGCAATTTCCAACCTTTTGCATCTCCCAATTGGGATAAGGTTCAAGATTCGGTGCTGTTACGTTATTCTGTGGTGTAGCCGATGTCACTCCTAATGTCACAGGAACACCGTTTTTCCATCTTGGTACTGTCAGGTACATCCTATGTTTCCATAATTTAATACCAGCAATGGCATTATTTTCTGGTATATATTCTTCATTTTGCAGGGCCGCCAGTCGCGCGTCTTCCGATGGCCATGTCACGTTTATGTATTTCCATTGGAATTCAACACGAAACTTGTCGTGAACCGCCAACGTAGCAGCCACAAGGACCACGAATATCGTTACTAACTTCAACATCTTTATACAGTATTAATAAAACTTCAGAGTAAGTTCCCTCGGTCACTGATCTTCAAATTTAATTTTTTTTCTATCCTCCACAATTTATTGTCTCTGATAATGAACAACTTTTTTTAACCAGTTCCTCAACTCGTCGGTTCTTAATCTTCTCAACCGAGAACAGCAGTACCAGTTCGTCAGTCCGAACCTAATAATTCCACCGATGCTATTCCTGTCCCGTGCAATGTGTCTCCCGGAAGTGTCCCAGTGCCAATTGTTATTTAACTTGTCACCAGCGGTGTTCAGTTCCTTAGTATCTTTGAGTTTAGGTCCATCTCGTTGGACGTTTGCGAATTGACTGACGGAGAAGCGTTCGCGTAGCTGAAAGCCGAGACTTGCGTTCCCTCCATCCCTTTCTCCATCTGAGGGACTGCGTTTCCTTCTCCCTCCCGCTTCCTATGATTTTACCCCACCACTCTAACACAGTATCACTATCCGATCTTGACCGATTCCTCCTCTTCTCCCTACCACCAAACAATTCTCCACCCTCTTTCGACCTCCCTCGTCACTGTCTCGTGTCTCTTATATTAGACGATCTTCGTTACTTAACCGAGTTTACAGGCTTGACCGTCTTTATCATTGCAACTGTACTATGCAAATGGCTAATGAAGTGCGTTGACTGTGTTGGCTTCAAATTTCTTTGAGACTTCAATTCAGCAGTAACTTCTAAGCTTTCATATTTGTGACTTGATTGGAAGCAAGTCTGCCTTAGACAATTTTT